TAAGGAGAGAAAAATATCAAGTTCATTATGTTTTTAATAAAAAGTATGAAAAGCTGTACATAAAGCAATATCTTATTTTGATATAGATAAAATTAAAAGCCAGAATAATTCACCAGTGCATTATGATATTAATAACTTGATATTAGAGGTGTTCTTGCTCTGTCAGTACAGAAGATCAAGATACACCAAATTTAAAGAATTAAAATCAATCCTAGTTTGCATATGTCATAGATGTCGTAAATGTAATGGCATCTTTATACAATTTTTGCTGTAAAGCAAAATATTATAGCTACCTATTTGAGAACTACATGCTGCCAAGCATGAAGAAATTATTGATTTATCTTCTATATATAATTAATTATCCTGGAAAAGATCTTCATTGACTACTGGGAAATCGTGTCCATTTTTTTTTCTCTCTGCATGCATCTGACAAATTTTTGTGCACAGTGGTCAGGATGTGAGGTATAGCTGGGTGGTAGGTTGGAAAAAAGATTTCTTTTCCTCAATATATTATCATCCTACAGAGATCACTACATGTTAAAGGAGTCCAGATACACACTCATTCTTCTAAATATAATCCAAGAAAAGGCTCTATTCCTGGAAGTTTATATATTAAGTAAATTAATTCTATGTTAGAATAGCACATAGAATCATTCTATATGAAGAATAATTATTTTCTGCCAATTATTGTCTTACCTTATGGTAAGAAATTTTTTTTTTTAGGTTGCTTGACATAATTCTAAAATGAACATTTGTAAGGTTGTACATAGCTACAGCTTTTGCACTGAGGCTGAAATCACCCACGCTCTGACATCTGTGCTAAAGCTGAGTCCCAGTTCCACATGGATTAGTTTTGTGACCTCAGGTATAGTTTAGGAAGCAGGTTGTGACTCAAAAGAAATCGAAATACCTTATTGTCACTTTTTCTACTGTGCATTCTTAATACTCAGCATTCAGGTTTTACAATTTAGTTCTTTACCAGTTTAATCGTATAGTGCATTTATGAACAAGTTCCTGAGTTGTGTTTATGTACCAGTCTTCAAAGGTCATCTCTTTTGGCTTATCTTATAGAAGAGAAAGGCAAAAGTCAGCAGTCATCTTTTTTAACATCTGGAAAAGTATCTTTTTTCATACAATTATAACTGTTTGACAGGAATTTGCTCAAAGTTAATGAATATCTTTGGATAGAGATTAAAAATGGAAAATTACATCTTCAGAGATGTACTTTTCTTTAAATTACTAGTATGTGAAAACTGTTTTGGAACTTTAATTGCTGCTACAGGCTTACTACAAAATAAACTTTGCAATAAACCCTGGCTGATCCTTATCTATAACCAAAAAATCTCCACACTCACAATAGCATAATGTAGGGTGAAATCACATTTGTATTTGGATTTTTTTGCAACTGAGTTCAAGAAGGCAGGATTTTCTCTTTCAAACAGCCCCAAAATTCTCCTCCACTCTGTATGTGGGAATTATCTGGATCCTGCAGTAATTGCTGGTTGGGTCAATTGCTTGATTTTCTACAGTGAGGAGAATTACATACTTTCTGGTTTTGGCCTGACACAGAAGCATTCAGGAATGATTTCTTGGGGTAAACTGGACAGTTCAAACCCAGAGTTTCATTGACCTCCTGAGTTAGAAGCCAACTTCTCTGCTCAGTGCCAGCTCTGAATCATACCAATTATGCCCGCTTCCAAAAACTGCATCTGAACCTGCTGTTCTTTTGACCCTTGTGATTTTGGCAATTTGTATCTCTTTGTTCAACCTCTTTTAGCATGCTGCAGGTGCGAGAAACCTTAGTCTCAATCCCAGGAGAGAAGGCTTCATCAAAAATTCCCAGAGAGGCAACCACTGCAAGGTTGATAGGGAAAATCCCTTCTCATGATAGAATCACAGAATGGTTGAGAAGGGACCTCTGAAGGTCATCTAGTCCAATCCCTCTTCCATGATTCCTTTCTCCTCTAGTGAGTAGTCACTTGGAAAATACCTGGGGAATGCACACTACTACAAGTCTCTTAGCAAGGACCAAAAGTCATATTCCAGCACTGTAAGAAAATATTCAGCAAAAGAGGTACATGCAATGACCAGTGAGGAAGGAGGCACCTTGCTCAGATTGGTCTGTGATTTTAATAGCAGCAGTGGGAAGACATAGGATTGGAATCCACCACATCTGGCTTCAGATGCGTGCCCAGCTTATCAAGGTGGGGTGTCTTTCATGTTCAGCTGGGAGGCAGCATCTACAGGCAGTGATTGATGAGCCTGGACAGCAACAAGTAGACTCTTTTGAAGTGCCTGCTGTATTCTAGGAGCTCTAAATAGATCCCAAGGTGCCATTGCTAAAGGACAGATGAGGCACCCTAAAAATAAAATTATGACTACCTTTAATGAGGAGTTGAAGGGGGTTTAATAGATTTTGGTCTTTCTGTGATCAGCATCTGGATACATTTTATGTGATGCTAGGGCTGAACTTGTGAGCAGTTGTTAAAAGCATGCTGATACTTTTTACTGTAGTTCTGGACCCAAATACTTGCATGAGCTCTAAAAAAGCAATTTCCAGAATCAGAATAGCTGTATCATCACCTATATCATAAGCCCTGTGCCCATGTTCATCTAAGAAGCCCAGCTATTTTGCATAAAGAATGCATCTGTTCACATGTGCATTGTACTGAGTCTTGGAATCCTGCTGCTAGGACTGGACTACATGTAGGATCAAAAAATTGTTAGCCCTTCACTACTGGAGTTCATACAGCTTCAAGTTTTAAGGTATTTGACTTCTGCAATAGAAAACACAAGTCAGACAGATTCCTCTTTCCTCTCCAAGGTTTTTCTGATTACTAACTACTTTGGTTTATTTCAAATACCATGGGATGGTTAATGCTACCATTATAGGATTGGCACCAAGATGCTGGTCTAGCTAAGATGAGAACCAAATTACTTATGTGACAATTTTATTTCCCCACAAGACAAGCAGAGATTAATTGCACAGGACAGATATGCAGCCTCTGCTCCTCTCCTCAGAACTGGCATTTCCCAAGGCACCTGCAAATGGAAAAGGGGATTTACTTATTTCTGTGTATCAAGAAATGATAGATTTGTCAATTCTGTTAGAAATTTTGCTAATTCCATTTTTTGGCAGTATATCCCTTTCTCAGAAGATATATATGGAATCTCACACAGGAGTAGTTAAAAAAAAATACTGGTAGTTAATGACTATGAATATAACTGCTCCACCTTTTTTTTCCGTGATGCAATGTTCCAAGAAAGCCTGTTGCATAAGAAGGTAATCAGAGGCAGGTTAAAATACAAGGAAATGGATACAATCTTCTCAATAAAGTAATGCTATCCTGACATGGCTTCTATGACTAGATTTGTTTGTTGTAGGCATCAGAACACACTTTACTATTCCTCTGCACTTTTCTTCTATGCTTATAAAAATGGTTTTCTAGAGGGTTTGGGGTTTTTTGTTTGTTTGTTTGCTTGCTGGTTTCTTCCCTGTGCAGCCTTTTTTCTTATTAAAAGGTATGTTCACGTTTTGATACCCATATGTAATTGTGGGATCAAATCCTGCTGCTTTTTTTATCACTTTCAAATGCTTGTAATTAAGTTGGGAACTCTAACATTTATGTATCTATGCATAGCTGAAATGATTTAAAAATACAGGAGCAGATTCTAGTTGCAATATCTGCATTCATGAAGAAAGCGAAAAATAGTTTCAAATATAGGACTATATGTCAGAGCTAATTACATGGAAAATACATAAAATATAAATAAAATTATACTCATATGTGCATGTATGTGTTAGTGTGTGTACATGTATTCATATAGATATTAAATATCTATATATAAAAGGAAAAGAGGCTGGCTGTTTGTTGTTGTGGAAGCAGTAGATTTGTCCTCTCCTAAACTATTATCATTCCAGTACAATCAAACCCAGAATATAGATAGATAAAGAGGGTATGAGAGCCAAAGTGATACTGGTGATCACCAAAGGATTGTGAACACTGAAAAGGTTAATCAGATTTTTCCAGTGGTATAAGTTACGTATATCTTCCATTTAAAATGTTTATCAAATGCTGATAAAGCTAACTGAATTCATTTCACTCAGACAAAGAAAATCTGACATCTTCCTCATTATGCCAATGCGTCCAGTTTGTTTTTAGAGCAGTGAGAAACCATTAGTTTATTAAAAGTTTCCACTCATCTGAAAGCTTTCCAATGAAAAGTCCACATTTTTCTTCCCCTGAAAGCTCCTGTATCCTTCTTTCCAACTTAAAACGGCATATAAAATTCTTTGAGAAGTTTTACAATATCAGCAATTTGGGCTGTTACTTTTTTTTTTTTTTTTTAATTTGGTAACCTCTGATAATGAAAATATTGTGCATTTTTCTTTACTGTGTATTGGAATGTTAAATAAGGCATGGGGTTCAATAATATAATCTCTCAGATCATGAGAAACCTTTTTCTAGAAAAAAAAAGGGGTTTGATGCTTGACTACTGCTTGCTTTAACCACTGCAGCTTTGCTCTGTTAACCTCACATACTGATATTATTACACTTAGGAAGTGCTAAAATCCAGGCTGTAGGTTAGGGGGTATTTAATATGCAGCTGAATGCAGTACCCTTTATCTCTGTAGTGCAGAGGCAGAATTTAACAGCTGTAGTCCTTTTGACTCTAAATTTATGGTGTCTACAGGGGACTTCAAATCCAAGCCTTTCTTTTAACTCTCGCAGCCTCACTGACTATATTCTCCCAAACATACTTCATCTTTAAGGAGTAATGGGAAGGCTGGACTTTCCAACGATATGTCTTCTTGAACGAATGAATAATATTCTTTAATTTCTTACCCGATTGTTTTGTGCTAACTTTCCCATGGACAGGATTACGTGAAGAGGTGAGGAGGGTTTATTTTTACACATGAATCATAGGAACAATGAACTAGACTAATTTTTATTGGAAAACAAGCCATAAATAACATTCTGTGTAAAATTTAAAGCCAAACTTCCACCAAGTCAAGTGGAAAACCTGTGTTCACACCACCTACTGGTCATAAAGCCAGGCAGCTGAGATCATTGGTTAAAGATTCTGCACAGGTTTATTAACCTTCTCCAATGAAAATATGGTGACGTAAGAGATGAAAGCAATAGCTAATTAACTTCAGTGGATACGGTGGACTAAGAGAAATAAGAAATAAGGAAAACTGAGGAAAGATAAGCAAAATACAAACTCAAGACACTGAAAAAAAAGAAGAATTCATCAACTCTTGAAATGTGTCTTTCTGAAGTCTAAAAGAAAGTTACAGTGTATAGTGTATAAAAAAATAATACCTATTCTAGGTTAATTCTGCTTCCAGATAAATGCTGTTACTCTTCAACCCCTGCATACACAGTATTAGTGTAGAGACAGTTAATTCTTTGGCTGACCACTGTAGCAATTCACAAACTACCTTTCAGGGCAACTCAAATTACAAAATGTCTTCTTTGTATTGGGACTGCTTCTGCTTCAGCTGTCAGGAACACTTTCCTGGCTTCAGTGGAATATGTATAGCATCACTCAAGACAGAGTCAGCCTTCGGGGTTGTAGAGAATCTGAGGTGGATTTTTTCACCATTGCTAAAGGATAGTTCCCTATAGCGCAATGAAGACCAGCGCTGCTCAGCTCTGACTGAGCAAGAACAGGGTGCATTTACTCGTATTTTGTAGGTAGGTTCTTGGGATAAAGAGGAGAGACAAGAGTGTGTCAGAAACAACGGGCAGATGAGAAAGGGGCTGTGGGGTGAACAGCTCCCTGTTCACCCCACATATGTGCAGCAATTCCAGCTACTGTTATAAACTGATCAGCATCTCTTCTACAGGATGACATTCTGTAAGGTAGACATTTCTAGACTCTTGCTGAAGATCTTAGTCCTCTAAGAAAAGCCCTTATCAAGGGCCTAAATGGGGCCTTTTTTTGTTTGTACAAACCAGGTTATGTTGGTGAGAGGGAAAACAGACTTTAGGCTGTGCTTAACAGAGAATAAGATGATAGAGAGCATGGCTTGGACACATTTTTACTTGCTTCAGAACTACTTGAGAAACATTATAACATTTATTTTTAAGTGAAATTTTCTTCAGGGAAAAAAATTGACAACCCCTCTGCATTTTGAAAACAACACTTGTTCAACATGCTTGTGCTATTAATCTACTAGCAAAGAGCAAGTAGGAAGTGTATCTTAGCAGGATTGGGTCAGTCTTCACCTTGCCCTTTGCAAACAGAGGCTGAACCTCTATGCTTCAAAGGTTACTAGTGTTGTAAATATGGGCTACAGCGCTAAAGGAATCACTTCAGTCACCAACTCCAACAGTTGAACTCACAGGAAAGCATTAAAAAATATGCTTATCATATCTACCATACCCTATCAAGCTCTGTTTTCAAAGGAAAATTCTCATCGTTGTTGATGCCACTGTAAGGCTGAAACTGGAGGCATTCTTTTAGTCATTAACTTTTTTGTCCCCAAAGTTAAACATTTAAATTAGTATTTCTGTATTCATGGCAGTGACAGGTGCTAAGCTTGAGAACAGTGGCTACTTTTGACAGCCAGCATGGGGACACAGCCTCAGAAATCATTCAATGACTAAGTGTCCTGGTGCAGAGTGAGCTAAAGAAGGGATTTACAGTTTAAACATTAAACACGTTGCTTACCTATTAAACAATTAGATTGTTCTAATCCCTTAGAGAGGGAGATGAGTCTGTCATCTCCAATTCTAAATTTCCAGCAAATGTGCCCAACAATGTAATTTCCCAGATCATCTGAAACACAAATAATGAAAGGAAAAACAGCACAAACCACTCTGGGGATCTCTTCTCGATTTTGTCTGTCTTATGAACAGAAGAAGGGCACTTTACTTTCAAGTAATAGCAAAAATTAACTTCGTGGATTATTAGTCTTCCTGGGTTATAAGTATCCCTTTGGAGTTAGACACATCACTTAGTCCTCCTGCAGCAGCTGATGGTAGGACCATCAGTTTTTTTGTTCTTGGGGATGATGTTTAATTCTGATGCTCCGTAATGCTGCTAAAACCTCTCTGTTATTTGATAGGAGGCACAAAAGGCTTTCCTGGCTGAACCCGCTAGAGATGCTTACTCATGGTGAGCAAAGTGCCTGTGTACACACCTGTTGGCTGGGGAAGGCCTTAGGAGAAGTCTTTGGGAGAGTGTTCACATGGGTGCAATTACTCTAATATACAGATTAGCTCTGGCTTTGGGGAGGTGGTTGCCTATAATCCACAGAAGCAGCAATACATTACTCCCTCAGGGCTTCATGCTGGAATAACTTTGACTGGTGCTGTGTGGCAGAAGCTGCTGAGTGAGGCCTAAGATAAAACCAGAAAAGCAGAGTTCAGTACTCTGAATTCAGTACTTCATTCATTGGGCTGCTTTTGAAGATTAAAGAAATAGCTATGCTCCTTCCCTCATGTTCCACATCTATAGCCAGGCAACTGCTGCATCTGTCACTCCTCGAATCCTGGAATATTAGGCAGCTGCCAGTACCTGTGCCCTTTCTCAACTCTTTCCAGCTAAAAAAAACAGTTTGTGCAGATAAAACAGTTAACATTGCAAGGGCCTCAAAATGGCTTACCAAAGTTCAGCTAAATCGCTGCACAGCTAAATCGCTGCCATTAAAGTGCCCATATGAGGAAGCTATAATGCCTCTGGTGGATGTGGTTTATGGGGACAGTTGCTAAGCAGTCCTGGAAAAGGCTGTGGAAAAACACATCCTCAATGGACTATTGATTCCAGAAAATAAATCACTCTATAGCTGAGATATTCATTCACTAATTAATGGATTTAGAGACAGAGTTATACAGTCAAGGCCCGGTGACACAGCCCTCATAAAGAGAGTCTAATCTCTAATGGAAGAGAATTTGAGAAATGTTTATTAACATAATAAATGTAGGTGAGTGACCAGCTCCCCTATCAAATAAAAAACTCTCAGTTGAGCATATTTGTATTTTATGGTCCTTAAATCTCCAATGAGACTACTTCTAAAAAAGTAAAAAACCCCCTGTGTCACCTCTTAGGTGTCTGTTTTCACTTAACTCTTTGAACATCCTAGTTGCATGTACAACAGGCAGAGGTTTTCCTTGTGTTACTTTGATTCCCATACAGCTGCAGATTCAAGACAAACCACCTCTTTACCTGATGTACCCTGAAAACTTCTTCCCTTGTTCTAATGAAAATACTAGAATTTTTAACAAATTTATTTTAGTAACATCCTAATATATTTCAGCAAGGTAGTCTGTGTTTAAATCTCCTGTGCTATATTTTTTGGGAAAACTGGAGAAAGCCTTTGGCTGTTTTAGTTAAGTGAGTAGGAAGAATGGTGAAATTTATACTTTTCTTCTGAACAAGGAACACAGATTTTACAATACTGATATATGAACTGTGTCAGGGAAAATTTAAGAAGTATGCAAAAGTAAGCTTCTCTGCACAGTGTTAATTTGCATAAAAATAAAATATCAGGATAAAATATAACTTTTTTTTTAATCTGTTGAAAATATCTGCCAAACTAGAATAGCAATGAAAATGATAGGCAAATATTTATTAATATATTTACGAATTTCCCCCAACCATTTTCATTTTTTTGATCATATTTACTAGAGAACACCTACTATGTTGCTCATAGGAGATCTATTTGTTGAAATAGTCACACTAACATTTTCCAGAAATTCTTCCTTGATATCAAAGACAGGTCAGAAAATCAAGTATGAAAATATTATGTCATTATTTTTAGGGAATCCCTAAAAAAATGGAGCTAAATTTATGATAAAGTGATAATTCTCATTTGTTCAAATTACTTTTTTCTTTTCATTGTAGAAACAGATTTTTTTTATAATAGCAATAAAGATAGATCTTTCCTACTGTAAAGATAAAGCTGGATTAATAATCACAGACAACATACAACCCTGTAACTCAGCGTCATGCCTACAATGAGAAAGTCCCACTGCCTGCTACAGCAAAAGTAAAACTAAACTGTCATAATACCTGTATGAACCACCTGAGCTATTGCAAACCTGTGTGGTCTGACTGTCAATGCCTCTCCTTTGCAACCAGCACACTGTGGGTACCCTGAGCAGTCCCTTGCTCTGGCAGCAATTTCCAGTAGTAATCAATAAATGGATTAAAAGGTAAACAAACTGAATCATGTGAATTAGCATCTTGATGTATAAAATAGCACGCACTTTGTCACGTGAAATGCTGTTAGCACTGTGTCTGGTAAAACAGACAATGCCTGCGAGCAGAATTAAGGAGATGAAAGTACTGCGGCAGCAGATGGCACGGCACAGTGCGGGCAGGGAGGCAGCGGTGGGGGCATTGTGGGAAGGTCCTCTATGGATCAGTTGCCATCAGGCAAGTCCGGTGTACGTGCTTTCTGTTTGTGCTGTCATTGAAATGGTGCGGAGCGACCCGACAGAAAATTGTTCTGAAGTGGGAGCAGATGCATTGAATTGTCAGAGGCAGAGCCATGACGAGACACCGCGGCGCCAGGAACACACCTTCTATGTGTGTCTCCTCTATAGCTCTCCCTGGCTGAGGGGACCCCCTCCCTCCCCTCCTCGGGCAGCGTTGAAGCTCAGGAATATTTTTCTCCATATGGCGATGTCCCTGGTCATGGCTTCAGGTGGAACTACTTTTTATGCAGATACCTGCAGGGTTGGGCAGAGTTTGAGGGGCAGTGGAGGGCAGTGGAGGGGAGTGAAGCTGCTGCTGCTGTCTCATATGGCCTGGGTGAAGCAGAGATAATGGGAATATTGTACCCCATTCTCCTGTCTCAGGCAAATCTCTGAGATTTAAGACCTTCCACTGGTGACGAAACCCCTCAGCATCTGTGGGACCAGCTGCACAGGTCTGGTGGCAGTGAAAAGCAGCATGTGCTGCAAACACTGAGAGAATCTTTTTAAGACCTTCAGCACCTTATACTGTGCTGAGCTTCACTGCATCTATTTCAACTAGCTCTGAAGTCAAATAGGGTTTGCTTCCCTGCTGTATTGTGCTATCCTGTAAAGGCAATTCCTACTCAAATAGTGGGTATTCTCATCTATACAATCCATCCATAAAATATGTTATTTTGATGTAACAATAGACAGTATCAACTCTTATAATTAATCTCAACTGTCATTTTCTTCAGTCTCCCAGTGTTTTGGGGTCTGTGTCAATATATTATTTCCCTTTTTATTACTGGCATGTAAGTCACCAGCCTCAGGATTAGTGGCATCTTTCCATCATTTTGTTTTTCTTTGCATTTGCCAACTTCTTATTTTCATAATATATAAAGAGAGTTAGCCTAGTACCAAGACCCACAGCAGTGTCAGAGCTAGAAGGATTTCTGTGGCTGTTTATTTTTGGAGAGGAGGTGAGTCAGAGGCAAATAATGGCAAATGTGGGGATGATGCCCTGAGGAAGGGTCCATTTTCCCATGCCTGGAGAAACCTTGTGACTGTAAGGGCATTACCTGGGTGCTGAAGCAACTCTCTGTCTCTGCCAGTATGCAGCAGCCATGCTCTGTCATCCCTCACTGCCTATAATGAAAAGGGCAGTAATGAAGAACATTTTCTGTGAGAAGGAACCTTCCTCCACTTTTGTACGCCTAATCTTTTCTCCACCTAAAGTCTTCATTCCTCTCTTCTGGCAAAGGGAAATCCTCAGCCAATTTTTCACAATTTCCAAACACTGATCTGGTGGCTGCTGCACCTGCAGAGCTGTTGGACAATGGTCCAGTTAACTGCCCTATGGTGTATTTTGGCTGTGACTGTTGAATGGGTGTAAGAATTCCAGCATAGATCATAGAATCAACTGGGTTGGAAAAGACCTCTGAGATCATCAAGTCCAACCTTTCATCCAACACTGCTGTGGTTACTAGACCATGGCACCAAGTGCCACATCCAGTCTCATCTTAAAAACCTCCAGGGACAGTGAATCCAGCACTGGATTGTGAAGCAATATTAGAGAAAAGGGTCAATGGGACAGTATATAAATAACAATACTTCTAACAGCTTTGGCCAGCTTGCTCTTGCCAATGCTTTTGCATTGACATTATTGAAGATTATTCTCAGTCCAGTGAGATAATGCAGATAACTAGAAGGGATCTGTAACACTGTTCCTAGGAGAAAGTGTATTGACACTTTCATAACCGTATTTTTCTTCATCTGCAGGAAAGGTCATAAAATGTGACATACATGTACAATTACAGATCTTATGATTTTAGACTGAATTAAATTTATGATTTTTAATCTGATTTGCATATGAAATTTAATGCTATCTCTCTCACGTGAGGATTAGACTTCTCTTCTTATGGATGGTCTGACAGGAACTAGGAGATCCAGAAAAGAAAGAGCATTTTCTTTTTGTATTTCTTTTCTATATAAATGAAATGTCCTCAGAATTGGCAATATTTATCTGCTCCTCTTATTTCAGAGAAGATATGAAGATATTACATGCAGCTAGAGGGTTAGATGGTGTATACACTGCTTTGATATTAGAACATGTTTTCTTTGCTGAATTGTAGATAAAATAAAGAACAATTGTTATTAATGTTATGCCATTAAAAGCAATAGGCTTAGTGCCCTCTTTTCAGGTTCTAGGGGTTAAGTAACAACTACAGGTATTCAGCTAATTGATTCTGAGCTTTACACCTTACAGAAAAAGTAGCCACTGATAAATCAGGGGAAAAAAGGAGAACCCTTACTTCCTACTTTAGTTTTATTGGAATTCATGAAGGACATGCTTTGCTATAGAGGCATGCAGAACAGTATCCTCTAAAGATTTTATGAGTTTGAGCTTTGGAATACTGTCTTACTCATAAGTGATGAAGTCATGAGTAAATCATGGGTGAGATTCCACTCTTTCAGGAAATACAGAAAGCTTGTCCTCAGCAGTATCTAATGGAATCAGATCCCAATGCCTTCAGGAACAGGATTTTGCCAGTCATAATCTCAATATTTGAAACACACACACACACACAAAACTATTTGATCAGTCATATATTTATATATACGTACATGAGAATATATGTATGAGCAATCACATATGTTTATACAGTGTGCAATTTTAACTCTCTGAATTAACAGAATGAAAATCTATCAATTAACACTAACAGGATTGTACCTATCATATGCTCTATGGGTGGAAATATATATTTAATATACCTATCATCATCATTATGGCTAGGCTTTATGAACGAAGATTTGGGGAGGGCTCTACCCAAGTTTGTTACAAGCACGCTGGTGGCTAAAAAGACCAATACAAGATGGGCACGTCCAATTGCAAAACGCACAGCAGAAAGACTCCTATCTATATAATTGTATATATTAAATATATAATATACTATATAATTATAGATCATACAATAAATATGTATTCTACAACATGCATATACATATATATGAACCTACATACATATATGTATACAGAGTGTGTTCTTCTAACTCCCCACATTAACAGAATTTTGCTCCTTATTAGTGGGAACAGAATGGTGTCTAAAACATATTTGGTAGAAACACCTATTCTGTATTTGGAAATGGCGACATAGATATATACATACATACACATATACATATGTAAAAATTACTTTATTAAATATATATACATAAAAACATTCATATGTATGCATACACACATTTATATGTGTGCATATAGATGTACATGCATACATATAAAGTCTCTAATCTAAATTGCTTTTAGATACATGTGTGTAGAGACTATATTTATTTATAGGCATGTATATATCTATAGAGTATGTTAACACTTTAGTTTGTATACAAATATATATACGTATACGTACTTGTATTTATATGACTGCATACACATCTCTCTTAGAGTAATCTACAGTTAAAGGAAGACCTTCCAGCTCTGCTTACACCTGCGCACCCCCGTTTATCCCAGCAGGTACTGGGGGGCAGGAGCTGGTACCCGGGTGCCTGAGCCCCGCTCACGCCGCAGCACCTGGCGGCGGCTGGAACCCGGGGCCCAGAACCCGGGAGCGGCCCCCGCCCGGGCGCTCCCCGCGGCTGACAGCGGCCGGCCGG